CCTACATCCCCATTGGTACATACGGCATTAATATGCGCAAAGCCGAATGGCAGTTGGGGTTGGGCACAACACTGGCTTAATAGCTCTCCCAGTCAGGAAATTCCTCCTCAATTCAAGTTCATGTAGTCTCATAAATAGAAGAGGCCTGCCAATTCTGCACAGAACCTGCAAATGAGTTTGAATGCTGCCTTTAAGTGCATTTCTCTTTCGAGCAACTTCTAGCATCTTTTGAGCAGTGGGTGGCTGGAAAATTCTGGGATTTGAAGTCCACCCATCTTAAAGTTGCTGAGGTGGAGAAATACTGTTCTAGAGTTACCCAATCGTCAGTGTGCCAAAGTAACGTAAATGAGGGCAGGCTTTCTCTCGCCAAAACTGGCTGGGTGATGCTATGAAGATGCGGTAAGTCTCTAGTATGGAAATAGGCTACATCAATCAAAGCAAAATAAAGAGTATTTGGGAAGGGGCACTGAGAGTCCTTTTCAAATAGGAGGTGCAAATAATACATTGATTGGGTATTGATCATCCCACTCTAAACCAAGCTTGCATGTTGGCCATTTCATAGTCATTCATCAGCAACTGACTAATTTCCAGTCAACATGCTGGTGTACAATTTATTCATATTTAGGAGACTAATTGAGTGAAAATTTGCAGGGTCAGTTTGATCTCTTTATAAATTGGCACAGTAATTCATCAACCCTAATCCTTGGGGATCTGTAGGAAGTGAGCAGTATCAATAAATAAAGATGCCAATACTGGTGCTGACCAATCAAAATTTACTTTTAATAATTCAGCCAGAACCAAGTTTCTCCTGGCTGGTTTACCATTTTTCAGTTGCAGAGTAAGTTTGAAGATCTCAGAAGGGGACACCCAGGAGCCAAATCTGCAATATAATCTGGATTTAAGAGAGATCAGACCTGATTCATCATTAGAGAAGTGCTCAACGTATGCCTTTGATGGTATGCACCCAGCACAACAAAGGTGATGTAGATGTAATATGCCACCAGTTTCATCATTCCTGATGCTGTATATTGGCGTCGATGAGCAGTTATACTGGAGCACCTCATAACCATGGCTGCTCAAACTCTGCTTAAAGACCTTCAGCAAAACACAGCTGCTCAACCCTTTAGGTTATTCAGTCTTTGGTGACTGCTCATTGATGGAGATTGGGGCCATCAATTTGTCTTTGTGTCTGTCCCATCACACAAGGTCATGGGGAGTTTAAGATGCAGAGAACAACCAGGTAAACCTGCTCTTTTCCTTAGAAGGAAGGCAATGGATGCCAAAATTAGGAATGATTAAGAATAAAAGTAAGTTTACTTAACCAGGTACAAGTCTTCCAAACAAAATGAAACCTACCCACATCTGACAACCTCTCGGTGTAACAGGACTGACATCTGGACAGCAGTGGATTCATAAAGGGTGGCATAATGTAAACCGATTTAGAGTGGTTTCCACATTCTGAATTATAATAGGAGAGATTAGGGGTGGGGATAGACCAGGAAGGGCCTTCCAATGAGGAGATGGTACCTAGAGGGACCCCACTGCTGAGTTTCCCTCTTGTAAAACAGCCTACCCCCAGACATTTGGACCACCCATCCTTAGTTTGGTTCCCAGGAGAAGGGAAAATCTGCCTCTTCCAGAGAAAGTTTGGGGTCGAATGGTAGTCCATCAGGTGGTTGTTAGTGATTATCATGTTTGCTGAAAGCCCCACAGAGCCCGTGGGGACTGAGCAGCACAGAAACCTAAATAAATATATAGATTGGTTTGCATCTAAATGCAAGTTTATCTAATTTCTCATTTTTGAACTAATTTCCTTTAAGTGATATCACTGAAAGTTTGTCAAAATTTGCTAACAAGAAAAAAAATGGACATTAAGGGAAAGTCAGCACCAAAACATTCTTATCTGTGATGGAATGGAATTATGAAGGCCAGGCTCAGGGAGATAAACATTTTCTTAGCTTGCCGGAGGAGCGTGGGAGTTACAAGAGGATGAGACTGGCACCTCCCTGAGGAATTCACACTGTTGTGGCTGGAGGAATTGGGAGGTGGGGGTTCAGTCTGGGAAGATCGGACTCAAGCTAGCAGTCCACAGCCTTCTACTTCAGGTTTGCAGATGGTAGGAGGGAGGGGGGCTGTTTCTTGCTAGAGATTGTAGCTAATAAACAAAGCTGAAATGAATTTACATTGTCTCTTGGAGTTCCTTGGGCTAGGCCTGACATTATCTATGAAAACTAACATGTTTTTTTATATGTGTGGGGGCCTTCGAGTCAGTGTTGATTCCTGGCGACTGCTTGGACAAGTCCTAGCAGTTTTCATGGCAACCATTTTTGGAAGTGGTTTGCCATTGTCCTTCTCCTCCTCCTCCTCCTTCGTCGGGCAGAGAGAGAGAGGGACTGGTCCAAAGTCCTCCAGCTGGCTTCATGCCTAAGGTAGGACTAGAACTTACAGTCTCCCGGTTTCTAGCCTGATGCCTTCACCCCTACACCAAGCTGGCTTCCATATAACGAAGTATTAGGGGATCATTTTTTGCAAGAGTATTGTACCTGAAACAAAATGGTAAGAAAAAAAATGCAGTAAACTGTCCATAGAGGGAGCAAGTTATCTCTTTTCTTATGGACTCTGTTTTATGCCCAGCTGTGCGGTTGTTCAAGAGGCTGCTTTTCACATCAGACGACACTGAAAAGCTATAATTGGAGGAAATTAATAGTGGGCTGGAGGGGAGGTTAGGGAGAGGCATGACACAGAAGTTTAACTTCAGTTGACATTTAACTTCAGGATTAAATCTTCTTCAGCAGAAGGTCCTGGGAGGGAGGGCTAAAGTTGGGGAGAGGAGAAACCGTTGGACCAAGTCCACTATAGAGTGCAGAGGATCCTTGCACCAGCCTAAAACCCAAATTGGAGAGCCAAGGGCAGCACAATGGCCAACTTTGAATTGTATTTTGCCAGTGGCTTCCTTGGCAGCAATGCAGAAGCAAATATGCTGCGTCTTTCTGGAATGGTCAGGATTCTGGGATGGTCAAGTCCAGCCTGGATGCCCCCGTGGTCTTCATCTAAGCGTTAACCAGACCTGACTCCTTTTAGCTTCCGAGCCTCAACAGATTTAACTGGTTATGAGGATTTCCTGTTCCTGTAAAACCACCGCAGTGCTACATGGTTGGTAGTGTGGGAAAGCTGTCAAGAGGGGAATTGAAGATTAAAACCGTCTCACGCCACGTCCCCGAAAGGGTTCATTTGTTGAGCAATGCACGCTTTTTTTTTTTTTCCGGTGATGTAATCCTGGGGTATTTTTGTGCTGGTATTAAAGCCAGGTTGTCTGCATCTGGATGACAGTCTGGACTTGTTTCTACGGTAGAAGCATCTACAATCAGTTGGAAGTTGGTGTAGAAGATTACATAGATTCATGGACAAATTTCAGAGAGGTGAGCAATGGGATGGAAGGTATTTACAGCACATTCTCTTGGCTTTCTGATTCAGGAAAGGGGGAAACGTAAGGATTTGTTCAACATATTGCTCTACTGAATTGCACCTAACGAAGCTGCAAGATGTAGGATTTTCTGCAACATTTCTTGATGAGGAAGAAAAAATATAGGCAAGCAGACATTCCACGGAGTTCCTTCCTCCGTTTATCCAGTTCCTCCCTATAGCTTTTGAATGCCCTATTTAATATCCCTAATGAAACCAAAACATCTTGCTTTCTAGACAGGAACTGATATTTGAATTCATAGCTCAGTTTTGGCACGAGATTTTTTTTTTTCTGTCCAGTGATTTCTAACACTCCAGACTTGGCTATTTTAGAGTTAAATTTCCTATAACACCAGGTTTCAATCTCTATCAACATGCTAACTGTTGTGTGCTAAGCAACATACATTCTGTATGAATGTGGTTAACAAAAGCTGTGAGACCAGCCAGCGTGGTTTGAAAACTCTGGGTTATTTTATGCGAATTCACCCCAATTGTATGTATTGTCGAAGGCTTTCACGGCCGGCATACGATGGCTGGTGGGGGTCTTCCGGGCTGTGTGGCCGTGGTCTTGAAGTTTTGTTTCCTAACGTTTCCCCCCCCCCCCCCGGCCCGGCCCTTCCACATGCCCAGACAAAAACAAAAAAGACAACTCTTTGAATAATTATATTCTCCACTAACTACACTTCTA